ATTCACCGCATTGCAAGCTGCTACTAAAAACCACAAAGAAGATGACTCAGTGTTAAAATGTAAAAAAAGCCAAAGCAGCTTGAACATTTAGATCTAAAGATAACAGACTAACCGCATCACTTCCTCTTCCTGTATTCAGTGTTTTTAAAGTGTTTCTGTCCTCAGCCTCAAGTGGAGCCAAATGGAAGACTGCACTGACACCTATTGGTGTTCACTCATGAAATTGTTTATCCACACAAAGTGCTGAACACTGTAAAGAAGGCCCATAAAGCCAATAAAAGATATATATTAAATATAAATATGTGGAGAACAACACCACAACGGAGCAATAACACAAAACCGTTAAATAATCCAACCTAAACTGATTCTTTTAGCCTCATAATCAGATTAAATTCCCATTTTGTTTTATTTCCTGTTTGAATTGTGCAACCATTAATCACTATTATTATTATTATTTTTAATAACAGTGCTACTAAATTGTATAACTAGGAACAGTGCAACCTGCAAATATGCCCCAGTGAAACACCGTGAATTGGTGTGTGTGTGCCACCTTTTTGATGAGGAATAATAAGATTGTGTATCATACTACAGAAAACCCTCCTGTGCACAGATTGACTGTGAAAGTCCTCTGAGTCCAATATTTAACACCTCCATCGGGAATGTCTGCGGTGGCTGCGTGGAGAAGATATGAAATATTTAACAACCACCTATAACAACAGCTCCTTTCCCTGATGGGCGAGCGAGTGCGGAGCTCCTGACCTGCTTTCAAACTGTTTTAAATAATTTTTCTCTTTAGTTGTGTGAAAATTTCAAATTCACATGAATCAGATGTTCCAGCAGGTATTTATGTGCTTTTATTTTGTTGAACTTTCTTTGTCTTGTTTTTCTTTTAGGAAACTTTTGGCTCATTTTAAATCATTTAATGTCTCCTAATTAAGTGGAAAGCTTTCTGCAGAAGTCCTCGACCCTAAAAAGAAGAAGTGTCAACCTCAGTGTGAGTTTAGAACTTTTCTCTTCTGCTCTGATTTTTCTGTTCACGTCTGTTTCTATTCATTTCTTTTCCTCTTATTCGTTCATATGCAGAACTGCAGCAGGAAACACTGATCTCTGTCTCTCTCTGTCTCTCTCTGTCTTTCTCTCT